CTCAACATCCTCTTGACACTTGGCGCCCTCAGATATATTTCTGAAATGGCGGCTTTCAAAGGCCCAAACCCCTATAAGCGCCGTAAAACGGCGCAGCCCACTAGAATCTAGGTCAAGTGACCTAGGTAGGGGCACGCTTTCCAACGACCCTATAAATAGGGAGATATTTCCCCATTTAGGGGACACATTCAATCATTTATTACACCCTTATTCTCTTACATCAGAGAAAGACCTGAGCTTGGAATCCGAGCAGATACCCACCTAAATTTCCGTTCTCTCTATTCCGTTTCAAGTTACTAACTTGTGCGTCGGAGGCGGAGCACCACCCAACCGGTGTCTCCGTTTGTTTTGCAGGTACAACTCACTGCGGATCAGTCTTCGTGTTGTAACTCTCCCAAGGGACAAAAACACCCAAAACACTTTTGGTCCATTATTAACTTTGTTTTATTGTTTACATATATTTTAAAGTTTAGGCAGTGATATTTGACTTCACTTATATATTTTTTTAAAAATGATTAGTTTTACGGCAAAGTGGCAATGATTATTGACTCTATCTCCCCCTCCATTTATATTCCATCAAGCTCAATTTTGATACAAATAAAATGAATAAAAAAAAACAAAGAAATATAAATTAATTACCTTGTTATTAAGATTCTAAATATTATATTAATGTTTTTGTACAAGATTCAAGGTATGGTACTATATAGGTTATTTTATTTCTTTATCATATCTATATCAATCTAGATAGGCAAGATAGCATGTGTTATTATTCAATGGCAGTGCAATTTCATTTAAATTTATACATAGTTTTTTACATGATGTCCGTATTTGGTTTTTACCAAGATTACACAATAATGTATCCACGCCACTACAATCAGATTGCCAATATATACCACAGATCCTACAATGATTGATAATTATGTATTTATGTGTAGTCGGCCCTAGTCGCAGATGATTCCCCTATGTACCTAGAGATATTTATGTTACGGAGTACTATTTAGGGTTGGTTTACTAAATTTATTGAATAAATCAAATTATTCGATAAAAAACCAGGTGATAACGGAAAGAACACCAATCTCAATACGAAGAGAGTAAGTATTGTTATATATTATATTTAATTTTTCAAAAAAATACTTGCAACTTAATTACTGAATATTGTTTTTTTTTTCTTTAAATGGAATTTTATTCTTATTATTTTTTAGTAAATCAATATTCTATATATCATACCCCATTAAAAAAAAAATCTTATACAAGAATTGGAAAAGTTATTGTGCTAACTTGACTTTCAAAGTCACCTCTTTCATCAAAACAAGCATATTACAAGCTCAAATGGTCGAGGATTGTCCTATTGTACAAAAGAGACATAAGATAGATAGTTGATTAGTTGTGTTTAATTTTCAACAAAGCGAAAATAATACAATCATATTTGCACAACCAAAGACTCGACTGAGTACAATACAAGTACACAAATTACAGAAATCAACTGTGCATGGAAAATCTAATTTACAATAGGTCCGCCCTACTATTGTTTTAATTAAAATTTATGTCATAGGATGAAAATTTTAAACTTACATTTGATCAATCTATATGTATACGAATTGGTAATATTTTCAAATGTGTTTATTTCATATATATATTTGACTTGTGTATAATTGTATAAAGAGTTATAGAGAATAATAATGTTTGTAAACTAAATTTAGGCTCCCCGTTCACTTATTTTTGCTGAACTGGAATTATTTTTACTGGAACAAAATTATATTTACTGAACTTAAATAATTTTTACTGAACATAAATTGATTTTACTGAATTGAAATTATTTTTACTGAACTGAAATTAATTTTAATGATTTTCTATTATAATTCTTCTTTAAGAAAACTGAATTTTTAAACTGAACTTATTTTTACTGAACTGAAATTATTTTTATTGAATTGAAATTAGTTTTACTTAATTAAACTTATTTTTACTGAACTGAAATTAATTTTACTTAATATTATTTTTTTAAGGTCAAGTGAACAAGGCCTTAATCTCACATTTTTTTTCAGTTTCGCCCCACATTTTAAAGTCTTTTACTGAATTTAACTAATCTCTTCGTTTGTATATAAACATAATGACTTTTGCACACAAGTTTTAATTATTGTAGTATCATATTGCTCTTATAAGTTAGATATAGGTACATTTAAATAACACACTATTAGCATTGCTAAGCTATATATTTTCCTAATATCTCAAATTTTTAACACGCCTATTTTTAATCTACGAATAAAAAAATTATGAAAAAACTAATACTTTTATATAGAGACGATAGATCAGTACCATCCATATTTCATTCCTTTAAGACAATTAGCAATGATGATTTAAAATTTTCATGTCCTACTTTTTGCTTACAATATCATCCTTTGTGACATCCACTTTTATTATCAACCAATATAATTTAATTTTGATGTATTTTTAAAAATGTGATACAAAAGGCTATATAGTTTTATAGTAGTGCCCTAATTCATAAATTTTATTTGCCACATACATATTCTGCAAATACTCAATAAGTGGGACAAACAATGTCGATTCAACTATGACAAGCAATGAGGATTAAAGAGGTGAAGAGGATTATTTTTAAGTTTACACAAAAATCCAATAAATGATTCTTTCATTAAATCTATAGCCTCAAAAATTAAAGAACAAATGATGCATATTCCCCCTTTGCTTTTTTATTTATTTATTAATTATTTTTATGTACCCACTTTGATTTTATCTTTAAAAGTGTTTTATTTGAGTATCCACTTCTAGTTTACCAAATAGTTACATCATACCACTACAATAAATAGGCCGATTTTCGACAGAAGTGCTCCAACGGACACGAAAATCCGTCACAAACTGCGAAATTTCCGATGTGTTTATCTTCCGTCGTAAATTTTCGACGGATTTCAAACAGTCCCGACGAAATTTTTGTAGGAAAGTATATTCCGACGGAAAAATTCGTCGGAAATAAAATAATTTCCGACGGATTTAAATCCGACGGAATTTTCCGTCGCAAAGGCATCTGACTAAATTATTTTTAAGAAAGGAAAACTTTGTATAAAAAGCTAACCCTAACCCATTACCCTTCATTTCAGCTCCCCTTTCTCTCTTCTCTTTATCTCTCCTCTCTTTCTTCTTTACAGTCTCCCTCTCTTCTCTTTATCTCTCCTCTCCTTCGCTACTCCCTCTCCTCTCCTACTCCTTCTACTCTTTTTTTTTTAATTCGCTATTAAATTCCGGCAAAGCTAGCCTTCAAAGCATCCTGATTTATTTTCCGACGAAGCTTCGGCGTGTTTTTTTATATCGAATTTATGGTTTTAAGGTCAACTTCGACCGTGGAAACGCTAGATCTAGAGATTCCATGGTAGAATTTGGCTTTATATAACCAATTTCAAGACTAATTTCGGTTGTTATGGTTGAATCGTTGTGGTAAGTCCGTAAGTGTAGTAGATCTGCAATTTTTTTTATCTTTTGTTTTTAATTTTTTTGTTCTGAATTTTTATCTTTTTTTTGTCCTGTTTTCATTTTTTTCGGGTTACTAGGTGTAAGGTTGGGATTTTAATTTTTTGGGTGTTGAGTGTTTGGGTTGGGATTTTATTATTATTTTTTTGTTGTCTTGTTTTCATATTTTTCGGGTTTAATTTCTAGGTGTTGGGGTTGGGTGTTGAGTGTTGGGATTTTATTATTTTTTTTCTTTTTGTTTATTTATTTATTGGTTTGTGATGGTTTGTTTTGGTGGTGGTGGTGGTGGTTGTTGGTGGGTAGTGGGGTGGTTTGTTTAGGTGTTGTGGTAGATCTAGGCTCGTTTGTGTGGGTTAGGGTTAGGTTGGTAAGGGTTTTGGTGGTTGTGGGCAGTGGAACGGCCGAACGGGTTAAGGGGCTGGTGGTTAGAGGTGGGTGATATGTCGTGCCGGTGGTGGCGCGACGTATTTTTTTTTAATTTCGTAAAAACAGTTTCCGACGGATTTTCATTTCGTCGGAAATTTCCGACAGACTTTCATTCCGTCGGAAATTTCCGACAGATTTTCCTGATGTTGAAAAACCTCTTTCGACGGAAAATTCCGTCGGAAATTTCGTCGGAAAAGTGTTTTCGATGGAAATTCCGTCAGAACAAAACAATTTTCCTACAAAGTGTTTTTCGACAAATGGTTGTGACGGAATTCCGTCGGAAACGGGTTATCTGACGGATTTTGGAGTGGTTCCGACGGAATTTTTCCGTCGAAAATGCGCCTTTTTCTAGTAGTGTACGAAGTATCAATATATCATTCATAGTTTTCAATTTACTAATTTTAATTTGACCGCACTTATAATTATATCATTCGATTAGATTAGTAAGACTTATAAGTAGTTAATATTTTGATAATAAAAATTTAACTAACAAGATCTCACTTTACTATGTTTTCTCATACAAATGTTTTTGTAATAATTTATTTTTCACAAATACATTTTTCATCTCACAAAAAATTCCTAAAATTATAACTAATATGTAACAAAACATAGTTGTATATTTAAACATTTTCTAGTTACTCTTTCTTACTTTTATCAATTTTTTTTTCGTACAGTACACCAACCCGCCTTTTTACTAAGGAGTTCATGTGAATCTTTAATTAACTTTATTTATTTGAACGAATTAATACGTGCAACTTTGCTAGTTGTTACAAAAGTAGATTCATCATTGTTGATATATGCAAGAAAGATGCAGCCAACTTTGAAAAATTCCCTCTTCTTAGCTAGCTAGAAATTAGCTACTAAGATCCAAAAAAATATAAAGAAAAGAAAAATAAACAGGAAAAGTAGAATTATTGACATCCAAGATTCTAAATGTAGAATAATATAAGTATACACTTGACTAGTTACAACTACAACGACAACTTCCTTTATATATACAAACACTTCTCCCATCCCATGCCATTATAACACTGCTTGTAACATCATCTATCTCTTATCTCTACTTCTCTTTGATTGTTTTTTATCTACCTACAATAATGTCGTGCAACGCTGCGGAGCTACTTCCTCTCCTAGGCGGCACAGATAATGCTAGCGCCGCTGCTTCGTACCTATGTGACCGTTTTACGACGGTGACATACGCCGTGGACAACACGTACTTGTTGTTCTCGGCGTACTTGGTGTTCGCCATGCAACTTGGGTTCGAGATGTTGTGTGCTGGCTCGGTTCGGGCTAAGAATATGATGAATATCATGCTTACGAATGTTCTAGATGCGGCTGTTGGCTCGCTTTCGTATTACTTATTTGGATTTGCTCTTGCTTTTGGTGCCCCTTCTAATGGTTTTGTTGGGCGTCATTTCTTTGATCTTAAGAACATTGTTGGGCGTCAATTAGAGATGATAATATTCCAAAGAAAATTACCGAAGATCAACGCCGGTCGATCCTTAAAGCTCACTTGAACTTTACTGTCGTTGAAATTTTCGTGATGCGAGTATGTCGGCGCTTTTGCTGCTCGTGAACCATTATGTCGGTGCCTCCGCGATTAGCCAATGTTTAGGCGCTTTAAGCTAAGTAAGACGATCTTTCATCAAGTCGATCACTTAATGTAATTGAGCCAATTATTTAATCATGTCTAATTGCTTCTAGGGGCTAACTGGCGCACAAAGGAACCCGAAAATTGCCACATAAGGTCCACATAATCATTTATGAGGTCCACGTGTTCTGTTGCCACACCAGCGCTAGCTGGAACGCATCGTCGCCGCATTTTCGCTCCAGCGCCTGGCGGCGAAGTAAGGTTTTTGAAATAAAACCCCTTTCTTCCCCATTTTCGGTGAATGCTGCAGCTGCTGCTATTCGTTTTCGCTCGGAACATCCAAATGCTCGTTCTCGCTCGTTTACGCACCAAATTCACTCAAATTTGTTGCAAATCAAAGCTTGTCTCATCTATTTTCCGGATCCATGTAAGTTTTTCTCAAACTTAACCCAATTTTGGCTAAATTTGGAGATGTTTCTTGCGCGGGTATTCGAAAAATTCAAACCTAAGTTTTCTTAATTTGCTTTGTTTATCAATTTTTATGCCTTAAAATTGCTGTAGTATGTTTTTATATCATGTTTAGATTGTTTTGAGACTTGTTTCATTCAATTTGGTGAAGAAATGAACAATTTGCCATTGTTGACCCTCTTGAGTACGTGAGAACAATGTGACCCGTTCTTTGTGTTTTTGCTTGCCATTTTTATCAAAATTTGTCACAATATTTATCATAATATTGCAAGAAATTATTTGATTACTGAAATTTGCTATTTGTGCTCGAATTGAAATTGTGCTCTGTTTTAGTACAGCGTACTTTGTCTTTGCGAACATAGTATCATGCGGCTTGTATTTTACTATAGAACCTTAATCTTCTAGTATTTTACATAATATTGCATAACTAGACAACGAGGCTTGGGTTCTCGTTCTCGTTCCAGGGAGGCTCGTCGAGAGGACGACCCCCTAGGCACCTCCTCTTCTCTAGGGATGTTTCCAGAGTGGGATGAGCACACTCTATATTTCGCGCCAGAGTTCCACATCTCAAAGCGCGTTCATCGAGGGATTCTTAGCGGGAGGGTCTGTAGACATTGTTTGGGTAACAAAACCGTTGCCTCTCTGTACGACACCTAATTTTGCGACCACGTCGGTCTGCGTCATCTGTGGGAGTCATGTGGTTTGACTCCATTGCTAAGAGCCACCCGGGCTATGTACTCTTTCGGACAGAGCCACCATGTAGTCCGAGCTTTAGTGGAGTTCTTTTAGGACACCACCAATACTTTTCACTTTCCTTGGGGTGAGATGATTGTTTCCCTTACCGACTTCAGTCTCATTACGGGATTGGAGTTCACTTCAGTCCCTCTCCCTTTAGATAGGGACATCAGTGTCTTCTCTCCAGAGGTGTTAGAGTTGTTGGGCCCAATTACTATTCGGGCTCATGCTGAGGCTGACCCGACGCAGCTCAGCACCATATGCATCCGCCGGATCACGCTTGCTATAAATTTTCAGGATCCTACGACCACCTCGGAACATTTGGTGCGCATTTTTGCTCTGATCCTTTTGTCATGGACTTTTTCTACTGACAGAGGTAGTCGAGTGCTGCTCTTCTACCTGCCTGCTGTTCGCGACCTTGCTTTAGTCGGGTCGTATGATTGGGCCAGATTGGCCAATGCTGACTTCCTGGTTGGATTGCGACTTTCCAGACATCAAAGCTTCTTCGATGGAGACGTTGCACTTCCCAGCTTTTGGAGAGTCGTATAGGTACACTTTATTCCTTCTAAAGTCAGCTCTAGACTTATTTTAGCAACTGTTGACATATTTTTGAAAGGAATGGTGTCCTTCGATTCAGTGTATTATTCTGATAGCGAGTTCAGAATTATTAGAAAGCTAATATATGCAGCAAGGTCAAGTGATCAGAATGCCTGGGTGGAGGCCGCTTCCGATCAGTAATATTAATGTATAATTAATATTACAGCTTAATCTTGACTAAACCCTTCGGGTCACACCCTAGAAAATATACGAACCGACTCGATGAATGAATTCGGAATAAATTAATTCGTCGCCCGAGTGTTAAATATTTAGACGTAAAAAATTCGAGCATAGAGCGTCGAAACCGAGCGCCAGAGAATCTCAAATGTCGAGCCCAAATTTAGGATTTGGCGAGACGGGAAAACGCTTCAAGTAACAAGTAAAATCCTAGCCACGCGAAAGGCCAGGAAAGTGCGCCCAATAGGTGCGTGCCATGTGGCAGCACACATGACAAAGCGCCATGTGGCAGCACACGTGGCAGCCGCCACGTTGGCAGCGCACCACGTGGCAGCGTGCCATGTTGGCAGCGCGCCACATGGCAGCGTGCCACGTGGCAATGCGCCATGATGGCGGCACGTATGGCAAGAGGCCGTGGACCCGGGTGACGGGTGATGGATACGGGCCAAAATAAAATGGCCCAACCGAACCCAACTTGGGGATCAAGGTTGGGTGACACATGGTTAGTTCACATTGCATGTGAAATGCCTTGGGGACCAAGTGGGAAAGTGGTCCTCACCTAACGATGTGACACTTGTTACTTGTTCCTTGGTTTATTTAACTAAGGATTGAATTCATCAATATTTCCATGTGGGATCTATTTGTGAAAAAGTCCCACATTGAAAAATGAGTGGAATTCACAAGCTATCCTTCCTTATAAATAGCCAAAGCATGGCTTGAGAATTCTTTACTTGAGTGGGAGTTGAAAAAGGCATCCCCATTGTGAAAACCGTTGAACTTAATTAATCACTCGGGTTTTGGTCAGACCTTGCTAACTCCAAGGTAGCAGACCTAAAAAGTCGGTGTTCGTCCTTTGTGGGTGGATACCGTTGGAGGCTCTCGTGTGAGCGGGGCTTAAGCTTTCAAGTAAGAGCCCGTCTTTGAGGGCGAAGCACGCGTCAAAGGTAAATTACGATTCTATCCTTTTATGTTTATTTGTTATGCTTTATGATTTTTCTTTATGGTTTTATTAATTGCAAGTGGTTCTTTGGGTCGGGGTCGTTTCCGCGGTAAGTTGGACTTACCAAACCCCAACAGCGGTTTAAAATTATAATATTTTTCAAGGTGATTTTTATGGCTTAATTTTTTTTGTTTAAGTTGTTAAATAGATTAGTAGCTCGTATTATCTATTTTAACCTCTTATTTAAGCTACCTTAAGCCCCGAACCCAGATTTCGACCCAAAAATAGTGAATTTTGGGAGGAAAAGGCGTTTTGGAAATGGTTTTTTCCTTTTAGGTGTCGGTTTTTAGCCAAAAAATGACCATAAATGCTATTTTCGAGGGTTTTTTCGTTTTGAAAAAAAATTTTAAGTCTTTCTAACCTTGAAAATTAATTGCATATTTATGGTGGTTATGTAATTGGTTAAATACAAGGCCTTCTGCCATGTGCGTGCGTGTGTGCCGTGTTGCATGCACTTTTGGTTGCTGTGGCGCGGTGATGCGGGGCAGAGCACATGGGGCATCGTTTGAACTTGGTACATGTATTATGTAATTAGGGGTATGCGTAGACGTTGCTCGCAAAGCAATGTAGTGCGATGAATTCGTTCAACATGGCTATCAAGGGCCACGTTTTTGATGTGTGAAAGTTCGCTGATGTGGGCGGTGTAACGCTTAGCGACATCGGGCCCACTCCCATGTTCATTAAGCATCTAACGGTTGTGCAAAATGTGAGCACTCCGTGTCTTAGTTTTAGGTACTTAGACACTTTGGACTACATAATTTTGCTTAAAAATTGTCGTTTTAATTATTTTTATTAATCTAATTTGTTTCAATTATTTTAATAAAATTTAGAGGCTAGGCCTCGGTTTTGAGCGGCATTGGCAAAATATATTTTTTGACAAATTTTGGGAATTACAGGCTTAATTAATTGGATTAATTAAGTTGGATGCGGAATTTAGTGGGAGCTTCAAATATTAAATTGTGCTTATTTACATAACCGGTTAAAACAACTTTGACTAGTTTTAATTAGGCGTGTTAATTGGATTAACCAGCTAGATTAGTTACTAGTTCACGCATGTTTTATTTGCATTGTTACTTGTTTACCGTTGTAAAATGCATGGGCCATTCACAAATAGTGAAGGGATGAATGGAATGTATATTCTCTCACATGTTTTATGAAATGGCAACTAGTGGGGCCCGATTAGCATAGAAAATACGGACTGCGATCCGTGATGTATTTTTGTAAATCTAAATATGGTCTGCGTACCGTTGAGTATTTTTGTACCTTAATATTTAGATTAGTCCCAATCGTACATACTAGTAGTTGCATTTAATTATAGTCAAGTCTTGAAGATGGAGTTTCTTGGAAAACGTACCCATGAAGTTGCAAATGAAGACCTGTTGAAGATTTGAAGATCTCTAGGGGTCGTGCTAGTTGCCAAATGCATCTATATTTATGTTTTTCCATATATATATATATATATATATATATATATATGTTTATGTATATATATATGTTTATGTGTATATATATATATATATATATATATATATATATATATAAATATATATATATAAAATATATGTTTATGTATATGAATTATATGTTAGATGCATGTTTAGGATTTCAAATGTTGTGATGATTAATTAAGTTCACTTAAATCAACCAACATGGAAACCCTAGGTCCATAAATATTGAGTAAAAACTTGCCATTCCAAAACAACACTTACCGGCCGAACGAGGGTAGTGGTAGGCTACACCAAAGTGAGGCATCACTACCTCTCCTAGGAAGTAAGGCATACCGGGTATGCGAGTTGGTTTTGGTTCTACTCAACGATATGAGTGATGGGTTCCTAACATGTTGTGGCAAAGTGAATAAATTGTTGAGAGAGAATTAGATCCGAAGATTTATTCAACCAAGAGTGGCTTGGAGCCATTAGCAAAGCGTTGCTTACCTTAGGAGATTGAGT